CCCCCCCCCCCCGCCACACCGCCCAGGAAAGCTGGCCCGGCTCACCTGCGGGTCACTCAGAAAGGCCGCTACCCACAGGCAGGTCTCAGAAGGCTGGGTCGGGAGGGCTCCCAGGGGTGGGGCTGTGAGAGGCCGGTGTGGCTTCCTTCCGGGCCTCCTTTGTGATGCGGGCATGGGTTCTCTGGAGGCCTGGACCACCCCCTGCTCACAGCTGGCAGGTTCCATCTTGGCTTGGTGTGGGGGTAGGGGCACGAGGCTCCCTGCTGAGCAGCACCCCACCCCCCACCCCGGGAGGCTGAGGGCCCCGCCTCCTGGCCCTCCTTCCTCCCTCCCTTCGGAGTCCAAAGGGGCCGCAAGGCTCCCAGGAAGGAAGGCCAGACCCCTCTCCTCACCCTGCCCGCCTTGCCTGAGAGAGGTCGGAACCAGAGAAACACGCTGGCCATGGGGTCCTTTCCCTTCCACCTCCAGTGAGGCTGGTGGGTTCTGGGGGTCTTGCCGGGGTGTCAGGGGAGGAGGTGTCCCTGCTCATCATGATGGGGGTGGTCTGCACCCAGAGACACCCACATTCGGCTGGCGTGGGGCTCGGCTGCCTCTCCGCCCCTGGGGGGTCTCGAGGCTCAGACCCTAACCTCTAGGAGGCAGGAGGCCCTGGCTGGGGGACAGGAGGGGCCCTCTGGGCTTCGCAGAGGCATCCCAGTGCTTCAGAGCATTAGGCGGGCGCCCCTGGCCCAGGGGTGGGGGTCGGGTTGGGGGGCTCTGCGTGGAGTAGGCCCTGGTCAGCACCCAGATGTCCCTTCTTTGGGCCCAACTCGGTCATCAGCATGGTTCTGCCTCCGTTTCAGAATCCCACGGACGGAGGGATCCTCCCAGGCCCCTGGGACTCTCTAAGGGTGTCCAAAGCCAGGGGCCAGGCCACAGAGACAGGGGTCTGAGGGTAAACAGCCGCTCATGCCACCCCTCACCAGAAGGCCCGCACTGGGCCTCGCTGGAATATTCCAGTCCACGTTCAGGTGGCCTCTTGGGTTGGCCCCTCCCTGGGAGGAGGGCAGAGCTTCAGCTGCTCAGATCCAGAACCCACCCCGACCCCCAGGCAAGGCTCTCCTCAGTCCCCGGCTGCCCTGGCAGCCCTCTACTCCCCGGAACAAACACAGCCAGAGCGAGGGGCTGGCAGCCTGGCCTGGAAGCTCTCTGGGCTGCTGGCCTGAATGGGGATGAGGTCAAGGTCAGGGGACTGAGAAGCTGCAACTGCCCTTCCTGGGAGCCAGAGATGGGTCAGGGTCCAGCCTGCCAGCTAGAGACTCCTTCCCAGAGTGTGACGGCCCTGGGGACCCACGCTCGATGCAGTACAGCCAGAGCGGCCCCCATCCCTGCCATAGGCTGCTTGGATGCAGATGCTGGCCGGTCTCAGGAGCTCAGCTGCGCTTTCCCACCCACACTGCCCTGTTCTGGGTCCTCCCCATCTGTAGCTCCATCAGTGAAAGATAGAAGCTTTGAGGGAGCAAGGAGCCTGGGGTCCTGGCCTGGCCTCCTAGCAGGCACTGCGCTGAGGCCGGCAGGTTCTGGGGGGTACCAAGCCTAGCAGTGCTGGCTCCCTTCCAGGAGAAGCTGGGAAGCGGGGCGGGGGAGTCCACAGGCCATGGAGCTACAGACTCCCAGCCCCAGCCAGATCCCCAGACAGACAGCGACCCAGCTGCTCAGGACACCTCCATCAGGTGGATTTTAGTCCTTTCTCCTAGGTGAGCTCAGGGGTCAGTGCGGGCTCCCTGCCCACCCCTCCCTGTCTCTCAGGCAGTAGATGTGGGATGTGGAGGTCTGAGGCCCAGCCTCAGCCCTGGGGTCCAAGAAGGCAGCCCCCCATGATGGTAGGTGGTGGGCATCCCTTCCCTCATCAGTCCTGGGACCATGGCAGGCAGGGAGTAGCCTCTGTTCCTGGGGCTACCCTCAGACCCTGTAGACACCTGCCCTTTACTGCTGGGTCCAGTCCTTCCCTGCCCCACGCTCTCGGGCTGGGTGGTCTGGGGTAGGTCCTGTCCTCTGCAGGAAGCCCAGCATCCCCTGGCAGGCATGTTTCTGGGCCTCAGCACGACGGGAACCGTCTCCTGGCCCTGTCCATCCATGCTGCAGGCAGGCACGAGGTGCCCCGCTTGGAGAAGACCTCCAGGCTGGAAGAGGTTAAATAGTTTTGAGGCAGTTGGAGAGCTGGGATGAGAGCCGGGCCTCTGGGAGCCCCCGCACCCACTCCCTGCTCGCTACGTCCTGAAGCCAGGCCTTGGGCCTCCTGGGCAGAAGGGAAGGGGCCAGGGCGGTCTGACTGTGCCCCAGGGCTCCATCACTGAGCGCCCAACCCAGCCCCAATAGCTGGAACATTGGTCCCCTCCCCTACAAGGTTTGCCACGGAGTCAGAGGAGAAGACAGATGTGCAGTGCCTGGCCCAACAGTGTGGTTGGGAAACACCTGGGGGCGGGAGTGGCCCGTGCCGAGGGCCAGGTTGCCTGTCTTGGAGCTCGGCTGCTATTTCCGTGACCCCAGAGTTATTTTACCCCCGTAACTAACTGTTCTTTATATTAAATTCTCGCTATTTGAATCACTGGGTGTGGTTTCTGTCTCCTGAGTGGACCCTGATGACACATAAATTGGCACTAGGAGTGGCCCCAGGAGGTGCCTCCAGAGATGAGGTTTGGGGACTGGCCTAGCTGTGTCCTTGGGCCCGAGGCCGTGGGAGATGTGACTCGTGGCACGTGGTGGCTTTGGGAGTGACCGAGCTGCCACCGAGCTCGGCTGTGATGTGACAGCTGGATCTGGGCCTCGGGAGCTGAGGGCTGCCCCCACTGTTGACGGAATGACAGCAGCCGCGAGGTCCCTGGTGTCCTGGACGCTTGCGAGCTCAGGTCTGCACTCAGCTCCAGCCACGGCCCTAAGAGTCCCTCATTTCTCAGCAGCACAGG